GATTCCCTTTTGTCGGCTTCCGGGATGAATATAAAAGTCTTCGCGAACGCCGGGGTTTCCGATTCGTTGGATAAGCCGCCGCGGGCCTCGGTTGGGGTTTCCCTTGTTTCTCTCAGGCCTCGTCTGACGGTGGATCGCTTTAATAAAATCCTTCCACGAACGTTTGAGTGCTCGTTTAATTGGATGGCCGATTTTAACGCAAGGAGGCTCCGCAGTGGATTGGAGGAATCAGAAACGGGGAATTTCTTGCGCATTTCACCCGTGGAGAGGTTCCAGCACATGCGATGTGGACTGACATGGCAGTTTTAGCAAATCGCTTCATAAACGCGGATGCAGCTTGGAGACTATCCGTATAAGGATCAGTTAAGTTTTGGATCGCTTTCCCGGGACAAGTTTACCAGAGAAAATTTGTCCTGCAAAGGATTACGATCGATCCAATTATAAACAATTACATCAATATTAGTATCCATAATTATCGTACTCATAATAATCACCTTTTATTACATTAACCCTACACTGCTTCCTTTTTTGATCTCCTCTCCCTCAAGAACAGTGCGAAATTCATTATACCATAATAATAGTAGAAAGTATCACCATTTACACCAATACCTCCCTCAGTATTCTTTATCTTTTATTAAAAAATATTTTTGCATATTTTTTATGCTTGATATTGACACCGTCATTATCCCTTCGCAGTCTACACTAGAGTGTTTTGAAAGCGATATTCAGCTTACTTCCTTACGGCTGACGCGATGTCTTTCCATGGTTCTTGCAGTGAGTGAGGATTCCTTCGAATCATCTTCGTCCGAATCCGTATCAAAGACTTTCTTTTTTCATTTCCGACACCTGGGAACTCTTTTGAGGGCGACCCAGGACTTAATAGACAAAATTCAATCTGCGAATGAGCAGAAATATGATCCTAGTAATCAAAGCGAGCATCGAGCTTTCTGTTCATCGTATTCGTTGAATAAAGAAGATAATCCCGAGATATGCGCCAATAAAGCAGAGCTTGGTAAAACATATTTTGACCTCCTAGATGCTGCCGTGCGTGCAGAAAAGCTTTTGGAGGAGAAGTTATCTTTATCTGGACTTCCCCTTCCTGCGAGTTGTGTAGGGGAAGTTTCCTTCATTCATGAAGGAATGATATCTGCATTTACAAATCCGAAAAGCAGCCATCATACTAATAGTTATTATATTGTAAACAATCCCTGCAAGGTGCGTTGTTCTCTTGAGGAGTGCCCCTGCGAGCTGGTTTCCTCGACCCTCGATGAGGTGAATTCACCCACGAATGGTTCTTGCTCGAAAAAATCCGTCCAGGGCGGTTATACAACACAAATTTCAAAACACCCCACCGTCAAAAAGGAGAGTTCAATCCCAAACGCATCCGAAACGGAGGAATCGTCTGAAGAGGCTGTCATGCGGGATATTCGCGCGACGATTAAGCAGGTGAAAAATGGCGCCCTTCAGGTTCGTCATTTGATGAACGAAGAGGCTCACGTCCTTTCCACAAGTGAGGCCCTCCTCTCCGACGGGGTTGGTAAATCGCGCAAAAATCTCCTGGATATCAACAGGATCAGTGAGGTCAAAGAAGCTTCCGAGGGGAATATGCTTCGCCTCATCCGCCGTATTCCGGGTGGAGCGATTTTTTGGCAAACCATGATCATGCCGTTATGGGGTTTTATACGGCAGATAATATTATTTTCGCTCATCCTTTCGGTGGTCTTTATGATGATGGTCTTAATCATATCAGTGGGAAAGCCGCGTGTTTATCGCGGGGTTCATCGACAACCTTCAATATCTTCATATACAGCACCAAAATCGTCAATAAAGAAAGCGGTGAATCCGTTGGAAAAGAATTACACTAAAATAGATGGAATGATTGAGAAATTAGGTGCTTCTCATGATCTTTAGTGGATGCCCTGAATTTACAAAAGGCATCCTTTTTATATTTGACCTTTCTCTTTCTCTCCATAATTATATTAGTTATTAAATTGACATGCTTCCTTTAATATGAAAGATGAATATTGTTAAGAGTATTAAATACTTTACCCTTTTCACTTCTGTTTTCATTATTTTATCTAGAACATTCATTTTACACAAAATTGATCAAAATAAAAAAATGATATACATATCCAGGCTTCCTCTAGTCAAGAGATTCTTTGCGTAGGGTGGACTCTACGAAAGCAACAGCATTGACTTAGGAAGTAATGAATAATAACTCAATTTTAAATCAGATTAGTATAAGATAGACGTGTAATATACCTGCACTTGAATACTGATTTTTCCCAACCTTCGTTGATCAGTGAGGACTATGATGGATAAATAAAAAACTAGGATCTAGGTAAGTACGTGTGAATATGTAAGGAAGTACTGAACATTTATCCTCCATGGGTATTTTTCCATTTTGTTTTCATTCTTATGATTATATGTTAAGTATAAATTGAATGATAATAATAAGCTGAAGAGGAAAATAGTTTGTGAGTTCTTAAGCTACCAAAGTCAATCTGCGTTTCAAGGTGTTTCCTCTATATAGACCATTAGCAATTGGCTTCACTGGAAAAGGGAAATAAGCCCGTGGTATCACGAGGAGGTGGCCGGTATTGCCACGGGTCTTCTAAAACCATTAACGCCTTTAAAATTCACCACAGCTATTCTTCTGTGTATAGCGATTCGTGTGCCTTTTGGTGTGTCTTTATTCTTATTGCTATTGGAATAAACCATAACGGTTTATACTAAACTTTCCACTGGTCTCCGTTAACGGCCAATGGTTTAACCGCTCATCCACATTGACTACTCTCCCTCAGACGTTGTGCTTCCGCTCGAATATTGGTATAATCAGCAGCAACCACAATTTTGATCGTGTGAAGATAACTTTGTCTTCTATTTCTATTTCTTCATGTATGAGAATTTCTGAGGAGCCACGGTACACTTCTGAAAGCCAGTCTTTTTGGCCTTCTCGCTGGGGCACCATGGCAAGCCTCAGTCCCACACGGATCGACCTTCACATTCTCCATTTATTTCAACTTCGTGTGGTGTAATCTGTTCCCAGAATGCTTGTATCGATATACCGTAAGGACCACGACTGTATAGGCATACGTGTTCACATATACACACAAACAGAACCTATACCGATAAACAATGGGTATACATATCATGCTTTATCACTGAAGCATTGCCCTCTTTCCCCAACGCAAAGATACAAGGTTAGCAAAATAATTTTATACTTAATTTTTGTACATTACCTCACCTCAAGTTCATGAACCTATGAGAAAGATGGTATGGTCTTAGCTGTTCCCTCCCTTGACAAACTTCGCATTCTAAGCTACACGGTGTGTAACAGCCCTTTTTGTACCTTCATCCCACTACTATCCTACCCCGCCTCTCTAATTGTAACTTTTGTGACACTAACGTCCCTTTAAAAAGGTTTCCACTCTTTACTTATACACACATAGCTCAACAAGCGCACACACAAAAAAGACCACTTTCCACACTCACGTGAATAACCGATCCATTCCATGACCAAAGAACACCTTCATCATAACCATCATGCCCCTCCGAGTGTCGAGGACGTCAAGCAGAACGCCTACGACGAGCGCCTGCGTGTAAACCTCTCTGCGATTGACGCCAGCGGCCCCGTGACGGGCGGGTTCGCGCGGGCCTACGCGGCAGTCATCCCACGCGGCGGACTGGCGGCCTCCACGTTCAGCCTCGTCTCGGCGATCCTCGGTGCGGGCATCGTCGTGATGCCGTTTGCCTTCAATCTGTGCGGCATCGTGATGGCGCTGGTGATCCTCAACTTCGTCGCCATTTCGACCGTCTACGCGATGCGCCTCCTCGCGGAGGTCGCGCATCAGACGGGGGCTCGCAGCTACTCCGAGGCCGCGCGGCAGCTGATGGGGCCTGGGGTCGACCACTTCATCGCGGTCCTCCTCATCATAATCTGCTTTGGTGGGTCGGTAATGTACATCATCACGGTGCAGGGACTCCTGAAGCCCGTCCTCAGCCGGCCCAATTCCCCGGCGTGGTTGCGAAGCTCGTCCGGCGTTAAATTCATGACGACGATGGTCTGGCTCTTCATAATGGTCCCGCTGTCTATCCCAAAGCAGATCAACTCGTTGCGTTATGTTTCCTTAATTGGCGTTCTGGTGATTGTGTACTTTGTGGGGGTCATCGTCTTCCACTCTGTTACACACGGCCTCAAAAACCCAGACATTCGCAAGGAGATCGTCCTTGTGCGCACGGGTAACGCTGCGTTGGAAGGGCTCGGTATTTTTATGTTCATGTTCCTTTGCCAAATAAACGCGTTTGAGGTCTTCCATGAGATGAAAACCAAGACGGTATCGAACTTCACCCTGTACTCTACCATTTCTGTAATCTTCTGCGCGTTACTGTATGTAATATCTGGCTTATTCGGCTACATGGACTTCGGCAAAAATATAGTCGTGTGTATCCTGGAGCTTTATGACCCTATAAATGATCCCAGTGTGGCAGTGGCATTCATTGGGCTTATCGTTAAGATTTGCGTTGCATTCGTGCTTCACATGATCCCCTTCCGAAACGCCATCTACCACTTTTTACGTTTGGATCCGATGGAGGTGCCGTACCTGAAGCACACCCTGGTCGTGATGTTTCCCTTGACGCTGTCCCTTCTGTCCGGTTTGTTCTTCCCCAAACTTAATACGGTGATGGGTCTAACGGGGGCCTTCTGCGGTGGTATCCTTGGTATGATCATGCCCGCGTTGTATTATATGTATTGTGGTAATTTTTCATATAGAAAGGTAGGGTATTTTAACTTTTTAGGAACATATTTACTCTTAATAAGTGGCTGCGCAGCGGTTTCGTTTGGTACCGTAATGACTGTCTACGGTACCTTTTAAAGTTCCTTTGATTTAGTGATTCGCAAATCAAGTAAAGTTTCTGTGATCACAAGACACAGATTTTGTTGTACGATATTTTTGATGAAAAAGTATAATTGTATGTTTTGTCTTTAATAATTGGTATGCATTTTTTTGTTTTTTTTTTCATTCGATAAAAAATATCTGTTGTAGTTATATACGTGCGTGCACTTTTCATATAGAGGAAATGCTTTAAATAACCTAAAGTGAGCAGCGGTGTAGATATGCAGTCTTTATTTATTTATCAGCCGCAACGCTTTCAAATTTTGCAAATGCATCTTTTTTCATTTTAAGAAAAGAAAGGGAAAGATACACTTATATCAATGATTTTATTTTATTTCTGGACAAATAATTTTACTCTCACATCAACGAAGAGAAGGATGTGGACACACTAATAATATGCTTGTGTAGTGATTCCCATTATCCCAGAGATATCTGATAATAAGGCAAATTTATTTTGA